ATCCCCAGTAGCGGGCATGCAAGAGGCAGCCAATCCATCCGCAGGCCGGCACTCTATCCACTGAACCAAACCAGCTAGGGCTAAATAAAAACATATTTAAAAAAGAAACTTATTTTAAAAAAGAAAAGTTGTTGCTTATCTTTAGCCATGTGGCATCTTTGTTGAACCAAAGCTTTAAATTTTATGTTTAAATATATCAATCTTTTACATGTGTATTTTGTATTTTCTGGCTATCATTCCCTATCGGATAGGGAATGATAGCCGTGGTCGGCAAACTGCGGCTCGCGAGCCACATGCGACTCTTTGGCCCCTTGAGTGTGGCTCTTCCTAAGCCTTAGGAGTACCCTAATTAAGTTAATAACAATGTACCTACCTATATAGTTTAAAAAATTTGGCTCTCAAAAGAAATTTCAATCGTTGTACTATTGATATTTGGCTCTGTTGACTAATGAGTTTGCCAACCACTGGTATAGCCTATTACATACCTATGCTATATGGTAGAGCCTATTACTCGTAGATTACAAACCTGTACAGTATGTTACTGTACAAAACAACACTAGATTAAATCAAGCACAAGACAAAATGATGGCCATTGAGAGACACAGTAAACACAAGATGTATAAGGCTGCTACTGGCATAACGGCACACTGTTTTATAGCAAACTTTTTTTTAATAAGTAGAAAGAGTACAGTCTAAAATAGCAACAAAACGTATTATGTAGTAAATACAAAGACCAGTAGCATAGTCCTTTGTTATCAGGTATTATGTACTGTACGTGATTGTATGTGCTGTACTTTTCTACAACTGGCAGTGCAGCAGGTTTGTTTACACCAGTGTCACCACAACACGTGAGCCATGCATTGTGCTATGACATTATGACAGCAACAATGTCACTAGGCCAGTGGTCAGCAAACTGCGGCTCGCGAGCCACATGCGGCTCTTTGGCCCCTTGAGTGTGGCTCTTCCACAAAATACCGACTTCTGTGCATGAGTCACAAAGTTTCCCTCTGCACTGTATGTGCGTGCCTGCACAT